CGTAGAATCTACGAGCGGTGTCTTTTGACTCGAAATGCGCGTCGGGTAGATTCTTTCTACCTACTACCTACTACCTCTATTTCTTTCTTTCTTTATCATACAAGATCTAATGATTAAGTGACTTTAATAATCTTTGGTTAAGTATCTACACACACACGTACACGTTTACACATTTGTCTTTTTATCTTTCCATCTTTCATTGTCAAAATTATGGACAGTTGAGAAATAATAAAAATATCGTAAGATTTGTACGACTCGTAATGAAAATTGTGCGTCAAATGAACCGATCAAATCTTTCGAGAAAATATATTATATCTCTCTATCTATATACATATATATAAAGAGTATTATTTAACGAGCGAATACGATAATGAGACAAAGACGCAAAGGAATAGCCTTCGGGGGGGCCTTCTAAGTGGAAACGTTGGATCATCTCGTTCGTTGGCCAAAAATTTTCGAGTCATGCGATCCGTACATTAACGAATAGTCCGGTCGAGAGAGAGGCCTGATGAGAGACCCGTTGCGCAATTTCAACGTGTCGGTGAAGAACGAACACGCCGGAGGGTGATTCTTTGAGGATCCTCTCTCTCTCTCTTTCTCTTTCTCTCTATCATCGACGGTGGGCCTTGGTTGGCCCAAAGTGCGAAACGTAGGCGCGTCGCAGTCCCTTCTCGGTTAAAGAGAAATTCAACAACACGCGATGGTATAATGATCGTTCGCGCGCGACCCTTTTTCTTTTTTAAATAAAAAAACAAAAAAAAAAATACAGACAAAAATTACTTCCAATCGTATTACTTAAGATCTCTTCCCCCCCCCGTCTCTTACATTATATAGTTAGTTAAAATTTTTATTGCAAATTGTTTTCTTTTAATGTTTGGGGTGATACAACAACAACAACAACCCCCCGATCCCGTTGGCTATTAAGTGTTTTATCTTTTTCCCGAGAAATAATTTATTGTTTCTTCTAAAGGTGGATAAGGTAAACGGATATACAAAATCTGTTTCTATTTTTTGTTTAAATTTATATCTTCTTTAAAAGGAACTACGTGGAGTGTATTGTTAAAATTGTGCACGGTTACGCTTATTAAAATTTTCTTTGAAAATAATTGATACAATGCGTGTGAGGTGTAATGACGAAAAGATTAGAAATAAATACGTTAATATACATTAATTACATATTTAACGAGTTCAATTTGAAAGGATTATTTAGAACGAGTTAATTAAACATATAGGAAAATAATGTATTGAAAAAATTCGTACCTTAAAATCGTATATGTTGGTCAAACAACAGGAATACCTTGTGTTTTTTTCATGTCTAACAGTTGGTCATCCTTTGTTGTCCCTGTTAAAATATTTTTTAGTATCAGAATCAGTTAAATACTCATTGAAGTAAAAATAATACAAAGTAAATGACCTATTTCGAATATTAAACAATTTCAATTTGATATTGTATTAGATGAAAATAATGTCATCAATTAAAAGGAACGTTAAAACAATCGCAAAATATTAATAGAGTACTGTACTGTATTCGATTTACCTTAATTAATTGTTAATTAATCGAAAAAATGTATATTATAATCGAAAAGCACCAAGTATAAGTACGGAGCACCATCCTCTTCGAAATCCGTCGTTAGACTGGTTCATTGTCCTCTGTGAAAGTACTTTTATTCATAGTTGTTTTCCGAAGGTTATATATGTATAACATTAAAAATATTCGAAATAAATAGAATTTCCTTATACGGAAAGTCATATAAACAACGTCTAGTGAAAGTAACTTTCATAGGGGACAACGTGCCAGTCTAACCGTGTATTTCGAACAGGAAGGTAAACCAAACGTATGTTCCGTGCTTTTCGATTACAATAAACGTTTTTATCGATAATTTAATAATTAATTATAATATATCGAATATTCTAAAAAACTCTACTAACATTTTTAGATTATTTCAATGTTCCTATTCAACGATGATTTCGAGTTTCTTATTTTTATCCGATAAAACATTAGATCTGATATTATTTAATATTAGATGTACATTAATAGATATGTCATTTTTAAACAAATTTACTTTGTATTATAATTTTTAATTTAATGGATATTAAACTGATTCTGAAACTAAAAAGTATTTAAATATAATTGGATTTAAATATCAATTACTTAAGATAGATAATCGAACATTCTAATGAACTCTGCTAATATTCTTGGATTATTTTAACGTTCCTATCCAATGATGATTTGAACTTTTTGTTATTTTTATCTAATAAAATATTGGATCGATATTGTTTTAATATTCGATGTATATTAATAGATACGTCGTTTTTAAACAAATTTACATTGTAATTATTTTTAATTTAATGAGTATTAAACTGATTCTGATATTAAAAAATATTTTAACAGGGACAACAAAGGATGACCAACTGTTAGACATGAAAAAAACACAAGGTATTCCTGTTGTTTGACCAACATATACGATTTTAAGGTACGAATTTTTTCAATAGATTATTTTCCTATTTGTTTAATTCACATTTTCCAAATAATCCTTTTAAATTAAACTCGTTAAATATGTAATTAAAGTATACCAACGTATTTACACATATATCTAAACTTTTTATATTTTTCTTCACGTATTAATTTTCAAGGAAAAATTTAATAAGCGTAACCCTGTACGGATTTTAATTATCATTCGTTCTATAGATAATTAATAATTAGAAACTTGTGATATTAAACCTAATTCCAAGTAATAATTACTTAATAATCAATATTATGAATTATTCCATACATAACATATATGGTATATCTATTCGATTTAAAAACAAGAAAAAACATATTTCTAACACGAATAAAATAAATTGCATATTGATTGCTATAGATATGCATATCATTTGTATGCAACACATAATAAGAAACGTATCTGACTAGGTGCGTTTAGCAACTCTCTCTCTCTCTCTCTTTCTCTCCTTCGTATAAACGATGTGTATCTCGTATTAATGTATCAAAAATAAAATAAAAAATACAAAAAAGGAAGAAAAGAGTGAGGAGATGGAGGGGCGAAGGGGGAGGGTGTTCGACGAGGACGTAGGAAGGTCCAGCTAGTTTGCATCGTCGCGATAATGCGTATGCAAATATTTGTTCGGTTCTCACTCTACTCTTGGTACACTATCCTGAATGTTTCTTTCTTATTTTATTTCTTTTTTGTTTTGTTTTTTTCCTTTTCCTTTTTTCTTTATTTTTTCTTTTTCTTTTTCTTTTTTTTCCTTTATCGAGCGTGCCGCTCAGGTGCCGTAAACGAGAACCCGACCTATGCGAGTAGAGGGAACACGCGTGCCATTGGCAGTGAAAAACGTTTATGGTAACGTGCCTTCACCTTTTACGAGCAAAGACATCGATTACTCAATCCCTTCGAAGAGAACGAGGACGAACGCGAACGATCAAGAAAAAAGAAGACCGATCAAATAATCGAGAACACCAATGGCCTAAGACCTAGGTCATTGCCTACTACTTTTTACACAATTTACGATTATTTCCTGATCAAATCGTATATGGCTATTAGAATGTATATTTTAAATGTTTAATCTAATTATATTCGTAATTATGTTTTTATTATATTATATTATATGTTTTTTATCTTTGCTTCATTTTTTTCTTTTATATATTTTTCAATAAATTTTTTACGTGAAATTTTTTGAGTATAATTTAGTTGCATCATAGATAGAATTATTATACAAATAATAAAAAATAATAAACATATTTTTTCTCGCTTTTTTTGAATGTATAATATTTAAATAAATTTATTACGTAAAATTTTGAATATAGTTTAGTTGCATCATAGATAGAATTATTATGCAAATAGTAAAAAATAATAATCGTATTTTTATTAATATTTTTTGTCTCTTTTTTGTGTGTATAATATTTAGATAAATTTATTATGTGAAATTTTAAGTATAATTTTTTAGTTGCATTATGAATACAGTCTGTCCTAAAAATCATTTTACCGAAAAATGGCAAATATTTATTTTCAACAAGTATTTGGAGTTTCACCATTATGAGCCTATGCTTTTTTTCGAACAATTTTATTTCGATTTAAATAAATACAATGAAATCGTAGGACTGTTGCTTTATTTAATACGAATAAATACTTGAAAAATATTAACCATGAAATCTAAAACTTACATTAGACGAAATAAGATGGATATATGGAGAGTATTACTTCAGAGTTACTTCTATAGTATTTGCATAAACGGATAAAACTCATCGTACGTTCTTTCATAACTTTATCCATACAAAAGACACATTTCAATTGCGTCATATTATTTTTACATCACAGTATATGTAAATGTCGAGAAAAAAAATTTTCTAAAAGTCTTTCTTTTTTTCTTTTTTTCAAATATTCTCCAACAAAATTCGAAGTTAATAGAAAAGACGACGAGAGAATTTAATTAAAAAAGGAGACGAATACTATGCGAGAAAAAGAGGAATGAAAAGGAAAGGAAAGGAAAGGAAAGGAAAGGAAACGAAAACGTAACTGCAACAGGTGAAGTATAAAACTCGAGAGTAGGTGTTAGAAAGGTGTAAAATGTATTTAAGGTTGTTACTATTCCTACCGAGTAGCCTAAATTCGAAAAGATCGAGTTGCAAATGAAAGAAAGGGGGGTGATAAGATATCTTGGTATCGTTCGATAATAAATTTACGTTCGCACGTACTTTTTGCTTTGGCCTTAAACTCTTACTCCTACTTATTCTCTCTCTTTCTCTTGCTAACTCATTATCCTAATCGGTGATCTTACATCACGGATGCAAAGTCACGACCGGTTTCGAGAAGGAACTCGACTTCGAATCGAGTGTTTACATTGCTTTACAAGCGGGTATGAGAAATCTCGAAATCGATCAAAGGTTGTCTCGACTATTTAAAACGTGATTCTGAATGATCTCTGTTCGAAATTGAAGGAAGGAAAAAGAAAAAGAAAAGAAGGAAAGATAAACGACAAAATGATAGAAGTTTACTCACCTTTCTGTAGTTGACCATGATCCGCGTTCATTTTCGCCTGTAACAAAAAGTGCTGCGCTTCACCAAGTAGAATTAGCACGAGGCTCGCATATATTCGAGCTATTCTACTGAAATATATTCAAGTTGGTTACTAACCTCGTAACCTTGTTTCGTTCCTCGACCGCCGCCCCAGTAATCGCTTTCCTTGTCGTGAGGATTGCATTGCTGTAACATATCCAATAGAACATTTTTGCATTTCTTTTAAACGAATTTAACTAAAATAATGTATATTTATATCTTTAATGTTGTTTACATAATATAATACGCGAACAAAGAAATTTTGTATCTAAAACTATTTCGTATGTTGGTTTAAAACGTAAATGGCAAAACGTCTTTGGTGGTTTGGTGTTAGTGTCGTCCTCCACCCCGTAAACGTGCGAAATGTTCACTGTCTCGAAATAGAGAGAAAAAGAGATGGAGAATGATGAAGAAGAGAAAGGAACGTGGGGGTGGGGACGGGGGGAAAGAACTCGAGGAGGAATAATTGACGCGAGTTAGAGACACGAACGAGGACGACGAGTTGGTGGTGGAAAGGGGTGGGAGGCGGTGAAGCGCGATACGTCGGAGTAGGGGACACCTCCACCTCCTCCACCGGGTGGCAGCAGGGTGGCAGCAGGGTGAGTCGGTCTAGACACAACACAGACGAGGGTGGCGGGCCTGTGACCTTGGGCATCACTCGGCCTTCTATAGAGATAAACGAGCCAACCCCGCCGAACGAACGAGTACGACGACAACCAACGAGTACGACGACAACCAACGAGTACGATGAACGAGAATCTCTTTAACGAATTCATTCTTACATATATCCTTCTTCCAAAAAAATATCTTATTTCGTTATTATTTTATTTGTAATATCATACTGGATGTTTCTAATGATCGCGAAACTGTCCTGTTCCAGCCGTTTCTATTTAATTTTCATTACATACGTATAATATTATTATTTTTAGAATTAAGTTACACAAACTAAATGATATCTTTTTTTTCCTTTAAACAATTTCGATACGTGCATACAGAACCTGTCGGAAACCGCCTTTTCTAATTGAATACTTTTTAGGGGGGGGGGGGGTTCCTCTCCCACCTCCGTTTCTATTTTCTCGTTTTGATTTTTTTATTTTTAAAGATACTTGGGGACAAAATTTGTTCTGCATTTGTTAACATATATGAAAAAAAATTAGTATCCGCGATGTACGAGGCGTATGCATAGCGAAACATTATTTTTTAAAATAGAAATGTCAGTTTTTTCTTTTTCCTTTTTGTCTCCCTATTTCTTTTTTTTTCTTCTCCGGAATGTAAATATTAAAAGAATGTAAAACAGGTTTTATTTTCTCGCGTCATCTTGTTTTCTTTTTTCTTTGTTTTTCTTTTCTTGGCTATGAAAATTTGTTCTGAATTTATTAACATATATGAAAAAATTATTGTGTTATTTTAAGCGGAAGAAAGAAATAAAAAAGTGGTTAATAATGATTTTTCGTTTAAGTAAATATTAAAATAATGTAAAAAGAACTCTTTTATTTTAAATACCGTAATCAACCTATTTTGTAAATAAATATTAGTATAAAAACATAGAGAAAAATGAATAAGATCTGTATCAAATGTCTGCGCGAAGAGAAAAATTGAGAAAGAAATATTTCTCTAATAGATTATAGAGAATAATTTTCTTTTTGTTTTTTTTTTGTGTAGTATTTGTCATCGAACAAACGTAAATCCTTCAAACAAATGTAATCAAAATCTTGCGGATATTTAAATAAAAAAAAATCAAATCTTATTCGAGAGCATAAGGTGTAGAATTTCACGGGTCTTGAAAAGGGAAAAACCTGGCTCGGTGTGAAAACCTAGATACAAATCATTTCGAATTTGTCATTGATAAAATATAACAAATGTGAAACTAATTAATTACTTTTCACAAAGTTACCGTCCATTTTCGAGTAGAATGACGAATCGGTTTATTGATATTAAGTGTGTCCAATGGTGTCGTCGAAAGGGAGAGTATGGAGTGTTAGCGGGAGGACCCTTTTAAAGGGATTCTACGGCATAGCCATTTAAAGACGACCCTGTTTCCCTTCTCACGACCTCCTAAACCGCAGCCAACGCTCGAATGAAACGACCAAACGACCCTCCGTATCTCGCGGAACCTTGCGTGTGGTCATGTTACCTATCTATCTACCTATCTCCCCCTTCTCTCTCTCTCTCTCTCTCTCTCTCATTCTCTTTCTGTTATGTTTCTCACCTTTCGCGGTCGAGAAGCCGATAAGCTACAAGTCCAAATGTCATGATCGAACAAACGGTATTTTTACGTCATATATTATCGTAAATATCTTATATCAAATATTATAAATTATATCGTTAATTAAAAATGTCTCAACATTTGCCTATTTTTCTACGAAAAAATCCAATTCGGATGCGCGTTTTAAAAATTGTCCGTCGTTATTGATGTTTATAAGACAAGTGTTAAAGTAATATAAATTAGAACGAGTCGACACTTTTTGACGTTTTAAAGGACAACAGAAGGGTCCGGTTTAGAAAAAGGGCAGTGATCCCAAGTTTTTCTTCGCGCTACAGGTGGCCCTCGTAATCTTCTCCAATTCTTGTGAGAAAAAAAAATGTTCAAATGAAGAAGAAGGTTATGCATTTTTGCTCGAAAGTTGGACAGTTCTTTTTCCTCTTCCTTCGTCATTTTCTTTCTCTTGGTTTCTTCCCCATCCGATACTACGCAGAAAGAATCTCTGGAGAGGTTTTCACCCTCGCGGGAAATCGAGGATAGCAAAAGAAAAAAAAAGAAAAATGGAGAAGAGCTTCATGCAATGACCGAGAAAGAAAAAGAGAAAGAAAGAAATAAAGAAAGAGAGACAGAGAGAGAGAGAGATACAGTTTTTCCGGACAGATACCGGAAGTTGGCGTCCGTGTGATCTATTTCTATTTTAAAAATGAAGAACGAGGGGAACGAAAAAAAGAAAAAGAAGAAGAAGAAGAAGAAGATGATGCAGTAAGGTGGAGCCCTTGTAAGGAGACGCTTTTTAAATCCGACGGTGTGATGCCAGATGGTTCCTTTTGAATTGAACGTAAAATGTCTAAAATTGGATCTGAAATAAATGTTAGCGAAGATGACTCGGAAAGAGAGGAGAGGAGAGGAGAGGAGACGAGAGGGTGAGGTTGGGTATGGAGGATTTAAAAAAAAAATAGGAAAAGAGATAACTTCGGCCTAGGGATTAAAATAAATCGCAAAATTTTGTGTAAATTTTTTCCCAAACTTACGACTTCTGTTTTTTTTTTCTTTTTTTACTCAGATATTGTACGAACACGAGTAAATAGTAGAAAGACAAAAAAGAAAGAAACAAAATAAATAAATAAAAAGAAAAAACGTCGAATACATTGAATAGAACTTTACTCTTTCATTGGGAGGGCTCGGTTTCGTTCGATCGAATTCTATCGTCGGAATACTTTTAACACACAGAGTCGACTTTCTCCCGGTCGTTTTTCTTTCTCTTCCTCGTTCGAATGAAACATTGTCATCAAAAACGAAAAGCGACTCCCGACTAGACTCTATTTACCAAAACGGAACTCACAAAGTCAAAACGAAATGAAAGCTATAGGAGGTTTCGTTGGACGATATTCGCGTATTCAGGTGGTACGACAGTGTAAAGTGAATAAGAGTAGCCGACTAACGTTCAACGAGATCCTTCTTTTTCTCTTTTTCTTTTTCTATTCCTTTTCATTTTTCCAAAATTTATATATTATTTCAAAAGAACATTAAAACGAAATGAGACCTCTTTTATAGCAAATTATACGTAAATAACGATTTTTCAAAGTGTTGCTCGCAACCCTGACGATACATACGACTGAACCAATTTCTGTACGAACATCTATTAAAAATTCATTCAAATCAGTTAAGTAACACCACGAATATAGTAGTATGTAACTGAGTTTATGATATAGTAAAAAAGAAAATTCGAAAGGAAAGGTTTGAGGAACCTTGATATATACATATATAAGATATATGATAAAAACAAATTAGTTTCTGACGAATTATCGAGATTTCGATCGATGACGGTATTAAAATGACATTTGCAAATAACTACGACGACCGAAGAGAGGGGAAAAAAAAGGAAGAAACACGGAAAGGATAAAGTAAAAGAGGAACGTATCCGTTCGTCTTCCCCCCTCCCAACCCCAAAAAAAAAAGAAAAAAAAGAGGGATAGAAGATAGGGATTGGTTGGTAATTTGCAATTAGAAAGAAACTCGACGTTCGTTCTGGGTTTGTGGTCCGTCTCGAAACTCGACCCAATAATTTTCATCTCGGCATCAACGCACAACGATATCCGCTTTAAAGTACTTTCCGCCGTTCTAACCGTATCGAGGTAGGAGAATAGCTGGCGGTAACGACTACGGCAACAGCCCTTAGGCGCATCCACTGCGAGCTGGCAACTCTCTCTCTCTTGGGAAAAAAAAAAGAAAAAAAAAAGTAAAAAAAGAAAAGAAAAGAAAGAAAGAAAGAAGGAAGGAAGGATGGAGAACGAGGAGAGAGAAAAGGGGTGGAAAGGGGGTGCGAGGGAGTATAAAAATAAAGGGAAGAAAAAAGGGAAAAAATGTGGAAAGAAGAGATAGAGATGGGATATGGAAAGAGAAGAGAAGGGGAGAGAGAGAGGGAGAGAGAGAGGGAGAGAGAGAGGGAGAGAGAGAGAGAGAAGACTCGGATTGGTAATCCAACCTACCGCGAGCAGCTCGAAGGGAAGATAAAGAAAAGAAAAAAAATACATTTTAGCTCGCATCCAGGCACCGCAGCGGCGCTTCGCCATCTCTCTACTCTCCCTCTTTTATACTTCTTTTTCTTTTCGTCTCTCTCTTTTTCTCTTATCCTCTCTTCATCTCCTTCCTTTTTCCTCCGCAAGCGTAGGTGGTCGGACCGATAGTCGAGAGAGCGTCCCGATAGCAAAAGGACGCCGACGCCCGGCGTCGGTGGGTGGGTGGTTAGGTATGTAGGTAGGTTGGTAGGGTGGTCGGAAGGGAAAGAAAAAAAAAGGAAAAAAAAAAAGAAAAAACAAGAAGAAAGAGAGAATCAAAAAGATAGAGAAGGAACCGGGGCGAAGGGGCGGGGGTGGAAAGTGGTGGAGGAGGAAAAAAGAAAGGAGCTGTGGGTGCGGTGGGATGAGGGAGAAAACGGGAGGAG